CTCGGCCCCCGCCGCGCCCGCCGCGCTGCACTGCTCCGCGATGTTCGCCAAGTACGCGCGCAGCTCGTTGCATGACTTGCGGTCGACACTAAATAAACATTTTGTTATTACTTTAAAATCTTACTTATTGTATACAAGTAGGTTGTTGGGACATCGTATTAAGTTAAAATAATTGCTTGTGTTAGAATAACCCGTTGTTCTAAGGAGGTTTGTTAAGACAAACATTTCATTATGATTTTATCTGGTAATAAAATATTATTTGAACACTACACGGACTTTCTAATTAGCAATGTTTTACTATACTGTAAGGAACCAGCACGATCACATAAAATACAAAGCTTGTGTTTAAGTTCGCTGACATAAGAAGTTAGATAATTGAGTTAGGTTAGTTTTAGACTAATGGGTCGTTATAGTCGCTGCGGGGCAAAGCCCCCTGTGAAATTTAAAAAAAAAAGGATCACATAATATACTAAAATTGTACTATAATAGGGACGCATATAAAACGTGTCTTTTAATGCTTTTATAATACTTACTTAAATGTAGCCACAGCTTCAGCGGGATTCCCTCGTCTTTGTGTGCGCTGTACATAGAACTCCGCAAGTTTTGCAGCTAAGTACGATTTCCCAGTACCGCTTGGTCCGCACAGTATCACTCTCCGATGCTCAGATAACAAGGAAACGTATCTATATACAATATTTTTTGGTATAAGACTATCAAACGCCAAGCTTCCAACTCCTTGTAGGCAAATATACAATGTATTAATAGTGCCAATAATGTAACCACACGGCAGTAATTCAGGGAAACCGATCTCAGGTCCCCTAGTCGCCTCTCCTAGATGATACGATGTGATTGAATCCGTGTTCAGTCCAAGATTAGTACCAGGATCTATCCTGGACAAGTAATCTTTGAATGTCTTCCTAACTATATAATCTAAGTTCTGCCAAGTCGTTTTGCCTGATATATAAGTGTATGCGATTGTGAATTCATTGCAGTTTATTGTCGAATCGCTATTATATACATTCTTGTAGGAATTGCTGTGAGTGGATTTATTACTCTTGAGACTGTTAGTGTTGGATTTGTTTATGGATTGTGGGTAATCTTGTGTCTCTGTTTCTGGGCTGTGTGTTTGAGACATTCGAGGAGAGTCGTAGCTCGATTGTTTCTCGAAATGGTTGAACGCGGCCGCGGATTGTTTCGCGTAGAATCTGCATTCGGACTCAGTAAGTGTATCTTGGACCTCTTCGAAATATCTTTGGAATGTCTCTGGTTGTCCCAAATATACTGCTATCGCGATTTTCTTTCCGTCTGTGGTGTCACCTTGACTGTCAGCTACACCTGGAAATGCATTTAGATTAGTCTTACTAGTGTTAAAGCATATCAAAAGTCTACAATTCATCTTACTAGTGATATGATTTTATTATTTTTTTATTTGAATTAATATTGTAGAATAAAAATTTTACAATATTGCTTATAGTTTGGAGGCTTTGTTTAAACATAACATCGTGCGTGCATAAATAAAAATATTTACCACGAAACTTTTTTGTTGCGGGGGTGCCTTTTTATTGTTTGCCATTTGTTAAGGGTTCTTTGGTTGAATTCCTGACACACAATAGTTAATTTATCACTGGAATATATCCAAAATTACATTTTTCTAACCAAAAAGGAAATATTCTTTTATTACTATTCACCCCTTCTTGCGTGACTCGGGATATTAATTTAAATTTTTGTGTGTCAAACACAAATTGTTTTAATCAACACATAATCGTAACTAACATGCTTACTGAAATAAATATAGCCTCATGTTACTCAGTAATAGTGTAGCTACTTTTTGGTGTAAGAATTTAAATTTAAATTCGGCCCTGTATTTTTGAGTTATTTCAATACATTTTTTTTTGTATAAGAAAAGCGGGCAAACGAGCAACGGATCGCTTGATATTAAGTTATCCGACGCCCATGAACATCCGCAATGCCAAGGGTACTGCAGATGCGCTGCCGGCCTTTAAGGGAGGAGTAAGCTCAAACAAAAATAAAAAAATACAAAAATACATTTCTTTCCTCTTTATAACATTAGTATATATAGCGTTACTAACCGATATCAGAATAGCTCTCTCCGATTGCCAGTTCCCTGGTCTTCGGTGGCGGTAACACAGTATTGATGTCATAATCTCCACTTAATCTATCGCCACCACTCAATCCGTTCGTAAATATATCGCCAGAACCATTCAAAGCACTCAATATCGCTTCGCTGTTCTCATTCAATTCGCACACGGCTTTGTTACCGTATATCGGTTCCACCATACTCGATTTCGGTGATCCTTTCTTCGAGAAATCCATGGTAGGGGTCGAGGTGAGCGTGAAATCTAAATCTAGAGGTTGTGAGTGCAGATCCATTGATGCCTGTGTAAATAAATAAATATATTATTTCCCTGAAGAATTGAGTGTCTCCTTCTTTTGGGAAATCGGTCAAAACCCAATAAATTAGGTAACAATTTCGTACTATACAATACGAGATGAATAAAAATCAAATCTAGAAAAAAAAATCAAATTCTTGCAAAATTTATTTTGATTCCTTCCAGACAATCATACTCATCATCGGGCACTATCAAGCAATAGTTGAGTCTTGATTAATCTGTTGTCTTAATTGAAGACTTATTCCTTAGAATTAGAGTTGAAATTCCAATGTTTACCTGATGCGGCTGGTCAGCGAGGCTGAAGCGTCGCGGGTCATCGGCAGCGGGCAGCGAGCTCTGACTGCCGGCCAGCGAGCGTGACGTCACCAGCCGCTGCAGCCGCTCGTTGTTCTGCTTCAAGTTCAACATCTCGTTCTGTGACAAAATAAACATGGTCCTTATTGTAGAAGATAATGAAAGGAAATAGGGATCTAATAACAGTGGACATGATTTTTAGATGTAAAATCAATAAACTGGTAAAATACACGTCAAAAGGTAAAATAGGGTTATAATATATTTGTATTTATGAAGATAATTACCCTCATCTTAATAACAGTATCCTTAAGACTTTCTAGTTGATGCGCCGAGCTCAGAGCTTCAAGTCGGATGTCAGTTAGCACTAAGTCCTTTTCTCTAAGTTGTCTCTTCAATTCATCCACCAATCCGGCATCATCTGGTTTATCTGAAAAACAATGAGATAAATACTGTTAAATATCACAAAAACTTATTTAGATTCATAGCTTTAAATGGTTATTTATTTTTAATTTAAGGAGGGATGAATCGCGTGTTACAAAGAGAACGTTAGTTTTAAGTGTGGAGGTACCTAAAAGGACCTAAAAAGAGATGGATGGATTGCGTGAAAGGTGACATAATCAAAAAGGGAGTGATGTCTGAAATGACGTATGATAGTTATGTGGAGGACAAAAACCTGTTGCGTCGACCCTACGGGAGGAATAGGAGAAAGATGAAGAGAGGAGTACATTTTTGTTCATTTAATAAGATTGCTTTTAACCGCTCCAACTAAGCTCTAGGCTTCTGCTAGGATATGATTCACGACGATAGTCGAATGGTAGGTTTCGAACCCTCGACCGCAAGATCAGTAGTCCGTACTCCATAACCCAAACCATTTGGCTAATTCATTGTTGGTTACCTTTGGCTTGTTCATCAGTCTTAGCGGCGCTTGGCTTATCCTTGGCCTCGGGTAAAGCTTCATGGGAATGTTCTAGACTATTCTCGTTACTTCCTTCTCGGATAGTATGAGGGTCATCGTAGTGGTGTGAGCCGGATGAACTGTCTTGTGACGACAACTGGCCTAAGGAAGAATGTTTTGCTGTCTTCGATATCTTTGCATTCCTTGAGAATGCTTTCGTAAATGATGAGCGAAGCTGTAAAGAACAAGAAACGGTTAATTTGCTAATAATAATTTCAATGTATTCTATTTACTTTGTTTGTGTGTTAGAAAAGTTTTCAAATAATAAGATCGTTCACAGGAAATATTTCACTACGGCAAACAGTCTATAATAAATATCATATGATCGTTTATTAAGTTTATTAAATAAAAAATTTATAATTCGCATATCATCCACGTATCTGCAATTCCAATGCCTTATTATAGTAATAAATAACGCACTCAAAAATTCAAATTTATTATAAGTATTTTCCATTTTATTTTGACAGCTACAAAAATCTGTCAAAGATTATTGATATTTTAGTATTTTAATAATAATCGAAAATTGTATTTTACAGACTCTTAGAACCCTCCGTTCATTTTAATATTTTGTATACAATCGGTTAATGTAATTTTGAAATTGCATACTTATATTTTAGTAGCTGTAAACCGCGACTTAGTCCACACGCAATAAACAAAAAAACCTGCCTATTAACCTATATGTCATTAATTAAGAAACATACTTGAGCACTCTGCAAATTACAAGGCGCTAATTAAGACGTAAAAAGATTAGTTACTAATGAAGATTAATTACCCATCCTTTTTTCTTGTGCTTCTTGTCGTGAGGCATTGAGGAGCCGCTACTTAGACTGTTAATACTGGACACGCTGTCTGTCGATAGATGGCGTGTGATCGCTCCGTTACCGGTTTGCACGCGTTGCGGCGACGACTGAGGCGCTTGTGTGCTTGCTGGCTCCTGTTTATTTTATTAGAACAAATTTATTAGTAAATTACGAACTCATTAAAAGTCATTGTTATTTAATAAAGAATGGTCAGGAATTGCGACAGTCTCCCTAGCAAAGGTGGGCTTAATAAATGTAAAATAATTAGCAAACTTTAAAGCCCTTTGGTGTATAACCAAAGGAACTATGATAGAGGAAACTTGGGTAGAATCGTCATGTTTTCTACCTAGGATTCTGTAGTAGTACCATTGTACACGTTTTTCCCTGGATACCCTGTATAGTGGATTTTTTCTACTGCTTTTGTTTTATGCGACAAATTTATGTACATTTTTGTTGTCACTGGGGTCATTGCCTTAGACTCGGACCACTATAGATAAATATTTGCCTATTTTAGCAACGGTCTTTATCGGTATTATTTTTATGTTGTTTTATTAACAAATTAGTTAAGAGTAAGCTTCCAATGTCTAATAAACTTCAGAAACAAATCGTAAACAATGCAATTATTAAGTCACTTTAATTAGGACATCTTAAAGTAGGGTACGTTAATTTGACACAAATGTAGTGAATTAATAACGTGATCAAATGTCGCTAGCCTTTCAAATGTGGAACGAGAACAGATCTATTGATGGCCAATATGCAAACGCGACGCGTGTGTTATCTGTGAAGAGCCAATAAACCCGCGAAAGTTATCGGACACATCATTAATAACAGTCTGGCACAGATTAAATATAAATTATGTGTGCATTATAATTGAAAATCTACTAACATTTATGACGATTCAAACATATTAGGTCATGATTATTAATAAAATAGATTTTCGAAAACGTCGAATATTCACTTTGATATACCGTTCTTTGAATTATTAATAACAATCATTTACATCAACATACCATTCACCATTCTTGTTATAAAATGACAGGTTCATTTTGACAGCTGTCAGTGCTTAATTATGGTTGTAAAACCACAAATCGGAAACCAGACGTTCAGATTCTTAGACTGTGATTGTTCACAACATTTTCAGTATTTCAATACTAGAAATGAGAAGTAAATTGATCTAATGATTTCTTTATGTTATTTTGTATAGGTTACCTGTCCTGTGACATTAACGCCATCTGCACGTATCCCCATAGACTGCATATGGGCAGTAGTGAGTCCGGCCTGGATGGATTGCTTGCGCAGTAACTCGATCGTCTGTCGCAGCTCCGTTAGCTCTGAGTCCTGAACAGTTACAACTTGGAATGAACTGGAAATCAAGTCTTATATCAACTTAGCACTTGAAAAGGTTTTATACGGTAAATCTATTGACTCTATCTACTATCTCTTCTCTCTCTATCTACTATCTACTGACTTTTGCTTTTTTAATACCACGCGGATGGTGTTCCAGGCAAAAGCTAGTTGTAATAATAATAAGATTACTTTTTTCGAGAATAACTATTACGAGTCATACATAGCAAGATAATTATATAACTCCTATTAATAGGAATTAAAAAAACTAGAACTCGTTTAGACTTAGATTCAAACGAGATTTAAGAAAGTTGCAACTTCCGTACTGAGATTAAAAAGATATAAAAAGTAAATAAATTGATTATACATTATGTGAAACTAAATGAATCCGGATTAGTTTCTCACCGGTCCCTACGAGAGCTTGAAACGAGCATTACGTTTCAAGTCGAGGTTTTAATCAATGCTATAAAAAGCTGATTTCGCTAGGAAATTAATTCAAGATTTTCTAAATCGTGTTACTGGACCGATTGACTGATATCTTGTTGTCTATATTTATACTTTAATATAATAAAGCGTAAACACACACCTCTTCGGTATGTACGTAGGATGTTAGCACAGCATATTATTGAATAATTCTTTTCTTAACAAAAATCCCTACAGTTACGTCACGATATAAAATTTTGAGGGTGAAAAACTTAAAGATTTATATAATAATATACGGATGGTGCCGCAAGGGAATTTTTCAGAACTGGTGTATTTTGAAACACTTTTTAAATTCCAACCCAGGTTTATTGTCCGGGTGATTTTTAAAAAAAGGAAATAGTGTTTGTAATATCTGTATTATACAAAGCGATTTTTGACAGATCAAGGTCATTGACCCTCATGTTCTTTGAATCGCATAGTAAATGCATATTAGTCGTATAATATACGTAAGTCGATAGCATACCTTTCTCTCGGCTGTGGCCGTGAGCTGCTGAAGTCTCTGTGTCATATTCGATAGACTTTGCTCGAAGGCAGACACCACGTGAGCCTGCAACAAGGAAAAACATGTTAAACCTCATGCATTATAAATGAGGTGTGAGAAACATGAGTGGTTATAATTATATGAATAACGGACTATCATTGGCTTACCAAAAAAGGAAAAATGCCTTCAGAACTATTGAGATTTTTGTAACATAAGTGATTAAGATAATAAGTGTAATAACTTAATAATTACAAAGTTCACACACGTATCAAATCAAATCCACTGAAGCGTAAACGAGGCGTAAACTGATCAACTGATCCTGACGAGAAGTGTCATTTGTATCGTATTTTCCCTGCCGTGTTAATAATAGTAATAAAACCTTTATTGCTTTAGATTGTTTCCAATATGTTTCCTACAATACTATAAAGCCAAATTTATTATGAACATAGTTATTTTTCACTATTGTCTTGATGAATCGGTGACTTATTGTTGTTTAATCCTTTATCTCTACTACTCTCTACAGATTTATATTTCTGTGTGTCCCGGTCAGTGTTATAAAAATAAATTAAATCGTGCTATATGCTTTTACTATACTCTATACTCTAGGCTTTGTTTAAACAGGCTGTGGAAGACGTTATAAACAAAGATGAAGAATTTATTATCATCTATTAAATTTAATATTGAATTAGAAAGCGGTTGTAAAAAGTCTTTTCTCTGTACTTGTGTGGTACGCTACGTGTTAATGACTACAAATTGAAAACGTTTCTGCGAAAACAATACTTAAGACATTGAAAGGCACATTAAATGTTTATGGTGACTTAAACCGTATCCTTATAGCAAAGCTATCATTAAATCTCTGTGCGCCATTAATCTTCAAATTAACATACGTCATTCTTCAGTTTTGCTAATTTTAAAAAATGGGATAAACAGCAAGGGATTCTATCAAAATGATGGCACCGTGTAATTACATAATAGACACTAACTAAAATGACTAGATTTTACATGACATATAACACATGTAGGGGAAGCGAGACCTGTCAGTTTTTTTTATTTTCATTTTTTTCATGGGATTTCACCTTTATACAAAGATAAAACTATAGAATTTTAAGTTCTCTTTGATATGTTAACGTCCCTACATATTTGTATTTGTAGTTACATAATAAACAATTGAATAATTCCAATTGACTCTGACACATTACAGTTTTTAACAAAGTATTTTCATTATTATAACTCATTTTTATTTCATGATAACCTTTAGAATCTACGAGTAAAACCTTGGATAAAATCGTTTGTATTTACCAAAACGTTTGCTTTCAACTTCCTTGCGGCGTCATTTAATTATCTAACGCGTAATTAAATGAAACAATTATAATAAAATCTTTACTGTTCTCTCAATGTTTCTTTCACCGTGCCGGCCCTTGAGGCTTAATTTGATTGGAGATTTACTTTCTAATTGCGTAAAGCAATTAATTTACATTCCTTATGCTATGTATTATATTAAATTATATTAAATTAGTTAGAACTACATTTCTTTAAAACTTAATTGAATTAAACGATTACTTAATTGTTTACTTAATAAGATTATGCACAGATTATTAAAATCTCTGAATTAGGGTAACGGTTTCTACATAAAAAGAGAACATCTTCATTGCCGAAACATATACCTAAAACATAATTCTACCACAGTAAAAATAAAGGCAATATGTTTTGGGTTCAGTTTCCGTCACGGAACCGTCTGTACGGTAGTTTTGAATAGATCACTGCACAACAAATGGAACAACTCCCCACGAATAGATCACTTCATAACGAATAGATCTGTTCAGGGAACGAATCAATACAAGGAATAGATCAGTGAATAGATCACTATGTGTACTTTCCTTTAATGGTTTTAGTACAGTTATTTCGTACGCAACTTCCGAAAGTCATCAATACATTGTCAGGGATTTAATCTGACATCACCATATTTGGTGTCGGTCCATCTCTCTTTCATGATAACATCGACGAAAATGTCAGATACATTGTATTGAGGATTGTATTTGACAGACGGAAATACGATCCGTTCTATGTACGGAATAGAACGTTTTGATAAACTCTATTGACAACGAATGAGAAATAAATAACGGTTTAAAACCCAATAGCCAAACAGTAGATAGCCTGTATGCGTAATTTGATGTTGTAACATAATTAAAAACCAAAGTAAGTAGCATATGTGTTCTTCCAGACTATCCTCTACATCTATGCCAATTTAATCGAGATCCGTTCAGCTATTTAGACTACAAACTCTAACATCCATCCATTTAAACTTTCGCATTTGTAATATTAGTATGATAAGGTTTTTAAAGATTTTGATGTTTATCTTTCAAGATAATTAAAACAATTGATTTCTAATATTCATAATACCGGGGAACTCCATTTGGTAATATAGACACGCTTAATCTTTCCCACTTACATTTCTTGTATATCATTCTTAGTATTATCTGTTCTAAGAAAGATATCTGGCTTAGAAATGTTTGGAGTGGCCGGAAGCTCTTGCTGTATGCATATAACAAGAGGTATGTTTGCAGAATCAGCTAAGATAATGTTTGAAGTGGCTTAATTAAAACTGTTTATGTTCTGGCTAACCCTGTGTTATATTTGTGTTAGCACATACAAAATATCAAGCATATTTTTTAATTATAATTTACATGCAGAATATACAAAGTTTATTTCAAAATCACATATAACTATTGGTTAAAAGTTAAAAGTATCTGTCGTCGTATATTTTTAGTTATTTACGACTTAATTTAAAAAAAAAATCAAAGTTTATCGAAGTAGGAAGCTCGCAAATCACATGTTTTATTATGAAATATCGATAAAATATAACTAAAACAATAACATAGATAATACAAGCTGTAAGACAAAATATTCATCAGCTACTATATACTAATATTATAAATGCGAAAGTTTAGATGTATGGATGTTTGTTAGTTTGTAGCCAGAAGTGCTAAACGGATCTCAATGAAATTTCCGCAAATGTAAACATAGTGTGGAGGAACACATAGGCTACTAAATTTTGCTTTTTTAGTTCCATGCACACGTAGTCGCGGACGTAAGCTAGTTTTTTATAATATGTATTCGTTAGTATGAACTCAGGTGAAATAACGGTCCCACCATCTGCCGTGTTGGTTCAAATAGGGTCGGCTATATAGTCTGTGTTATACCTTTAGTTAACATGTTAAAATAGTAATAGACAAAAACGTTATATTTACACAAATGTACAAATAACGTTACACAGAATACACAAAATGCTTGTTACATTTTGTACATTAAATAACTATGTTTTTCCGATTTTAATAACACCGTCTTTTTGTTTATAATTATTTGTTTTACACAAAAAGATGATTCTATACTTCTTCTGTTTATAAAGAGGAAACATTTGCATTTTTGTATGCATTGAAATAACTCAAAAACTACTAACCCGATCTTAATAATTCTTTCGCCGTTGGAAAGGTAATTTATCTGTGAGTAATATAGGCTATATTTTTTATTATTTTTTTTTAATTTCGCGGACGAAGTTGCGAGCAACAGGTAGTGTAATATAACCATGGAGTTTTATTGAGGTGCCATACTATGAATTATAATATTGTTCAAACAAATATAAGAAACCTACAAAAAAGAGAAAATGCACAATAAAGGGAAGTATATAGACCGGTCATTAAACGTAACATATCAAGTTGTTGTAATGCGAGATGACCGCAAGCCACTGCCTTTGTCCGCTTACTTCGTGGCCCCAATCCAGCCCGACTTCACCTCGATAATGATTCAAATTACTCTCCCGTGTACACGACAAACGGACCGGTTACAAGCTATGATGACAGAATAATTACTGACGTCAAATTGTATCATAGCGAACTTTGACTTTAAAAGACAGGATCTGACAAAGTCGCCCATACTCTTCTATCCGAAAAAAATGAAAACCAAGTTATAAAACTTGTTTGTATGGTCAATGAGTATAATCGTGCAAGTTTTTGAAAAGAACGCGTTCACAAAGAAGTGTCAGCAAATGTGTCAGAATTTTACATCATCTCCTGCGAAAATTTACACAATTCATTTACAACATCAGCTCTTTGTCTAGTCCGTTACTCTATAATCAAAGGTAGCGAAGGTATGCTGTTAATGTTAAGTGTGTCGAGATTTTTATACGCATGTTACGAGCCGACGACGACTGTGAGATGACTTAATGACGTTATTTGTATCATACTATGTTTTGTTAGTTGATTCCTTGATGATGCAACGTTTATGACGCAGTGTAACTGCAGCGTAGTGTGTATCTAAGAAACATAACTGTGAATTGGTTCGTGTTTTGAGTATTTTAAGTAAATTTAGACACTAATATACTGTAGAAAGGGGTTATTAAGAGAACTAATTACATGAATAATGCTCTCTTAGCAAGTAAATATTTATGAATTCCTCAAAATTGGTGTGGTTTGGTCCTTACCTTAGTGTAAGTGAATGTAATGTTCGTAAGATACGGGTTTCTTGCCACGATTGGGTTGTTTTAGCTCTTACAAACATTATATTTGTAAAAACCACGACAGTTTAAAGTTATATTCGTATAGTGTAAGTGAAATTCTTATTTATAATAATATTAACTAAAAGAACGTTAAAAATCATTCAGTAATCCCATCACACGCACTATTCAATTTCATTGTTTTAATGCGATGAATAAATATTTATGGACTGTTACGTGAGTCATCAGAATAAATTGCTTGCTCGGTGTTATTGGCCGTGGACTGGACACGGGACCCTTTGTTTGCGACGTCCCAGAAACGCACTCAGCGAAATTAAAGAGGGTATCAACTCGCACTATCGTATATTTATTAAACTTCAAATATACCGCCTTAGCGTTATACAATCACTATGATATTCCAATCTTATTATTATTCTATGAACGCTCCTTGACTCTTAGTGATAAAAGAAATTTATACTAAATCTATTTGTGTAAAAGTTGACAGATACAAAAACAGCAAAGTGAAATAAGCAACCAACGTTTTAAAACATTTCTTTTATAATAAAAGGGGGTAAAC